GAGAGGGTGGGAGGGAGGGAGGGAGAGAGAGGGAGAGAGAGGGAGAGAGAGAGAGCGCTCTGCTTGTAACGAAGAAAACTTCATTGCAAAGTACATATATATGTATAAGATAATAAAATCAGCTCACTTTTGCGAGTCGACATTGGCATCCTGGACGTGGCTCCCCGCCTCCAACTAACAAAAACGGAAGATACGGCCAGATCACGTCTTGATAGGGGCTCAGTCAAAGCCGGCAACGCTTTTCCAAAAATGGCGAAGCCCAAACGGACACCGGTCGCCTGTGTTTACAAAGTTACGCCGCAATAACGCGCGTCAGAACGAACGAACGAACGAGTCGAGTCCGTTCGCTAAACAATGCAGAAAACTTTTCTCAAATTTCAAAAATATACCACTTTCAAAAATATACCACTTTCAAAAATATACCACACAGCACGCGTCCCTACAATCGAGTCACAGGTCACAGCTTAGAATGTAGATAAGAATCATAGATTGTACAAGGATGGAGAAAATGAAGATCGTAGATTCATAGATTCTAACGCGCATACTCCATACGCGTGCGCGGTGGATTATCCACCGTGGATCGCGCACATTCTCTCTCTACAGTCATGCGCATTATCAACTACGATCTTTTCCCTGTCTATCTACTCGCCTTCACTTTCAAGAGACATTAGGTCTGTTTGCGTTGCATGAAATCCCAAAATAATTTTGCAATGAAATAGATATATATTCGGCGAGAGAGAAAGCGAAGATGGTAAGTGCAAAAAGTGTAAGCAACGCGAACAGACTTATGCTCCTTCTAGGTATCGATCATGAAACTTTTTCCCTAGGATGAAAAGTGAAAAGTGAAAAATTTCTCAACTTCAATGGTAAAATTTTTCACTTTTCATTTTTTATCCTAGGGAAAAAGTTTTATGATCGATACCCAGTACTATATGTTCTAAGAGTCACAGTATATACCGTAGTGCAACTCTCCCGATTTTGTGTTGCCTAAAATGGAGTGCGCATGCGCGAAATAAGTGAGTTACTAGACTGTGCTCTTTCTTTTTTCATCCTTTACGTGTGTGTGTGTGTGTGTGTGTGTGTGTGTGTGTGTGTGTGTGTGTGTGTGTGTGTGTGT